CCAAAAACAATAAAAAACAAGTAAGAAAGCTCTAGTCGAGACTGCTCGACTACGAGATCCCCTGAACCCTTGGAGCAATAGATATTTCAATAACTTTTCGCGTCTTTCAGCTTACACAAGAAACCCGCACACACACACGCACGTACGCACACACAGGCATACACACACGCATACAGACACACATACACACACACACGCATACACACACAAACGCATACACACACACACATACACACACACATACACAAACACATACACACACATACACAAACATTTACATACATATACACACACAAGCATAAACACGCATGGGCGGCAGTGAGCGCTTACTATGAGAACTTAATTGNTTAACAAAAACCGAAATTGTATAAATTGCATATAAGCATACATTAAAAATTTGGAGACTCTAGCAATAAAGGTGTAGAAGATATAATTTTATAACTGGTTTTCGATAAGGTTTTTTATCGATAAAAAAAGATCGGGATGAGTTATCGAATTTTAATGATAAACTTGATATGCGCGCTGTAATTACGGACATTTTAAAAAAAATTTGAAGTCTCTAGCTCTTATATCTTCTGAAATCGACGCGTTCATACATACGGACAGACGGACAGACGGACAGACAGACGGACAGGGCCAAATCAACTCAGCTCGTCATCCTGATCAAGAATATATATACTTTGTGGGGTCTGCCACGCCTCCTTCTCCCTGTTACATACATTTCAACAAAACCATTATACCCTGATTTCCCATTGAAAATGGGTTCAGGGTATAAAAACATAATATACGCACTCTATTCATTTCGTCGTCTGTGATGCATATCTAGAGATATATATAGATCCTTGCTATCCGTATTTCAGTGCACTCAGAGATACTCAAGCAGACGAAGAACAAATGCCGCTGGAGTATGCAGCTCATATGAGTGGCAGTGCACCAAAAAGCCACTAGCAAGTCCAATGGCACAAGCCTATATTTTTATTGCATACTTTGGAGCGTGATTCGCAGTTCCCGTCTGGAACATTGTAAATAAATGCGATAGAAAAAATGGTGCAAAGGGTGTGGTCAAATGACTGCAACGACGACAGCAACTGGCAGAAAACCTCAATAAGAACAAGAATGAGAGCGACAACAATGGGGCTGTTTTAATGTGACCATTAAACAATAGCAATAAGGACAATGGATACACACACATACACACAGGCACACACACAAAGCCACCTACCAGTGCACTGGTTGTAGAGCTATAGTAAACGCTTGAACAAAAGCTCGCTGCTTACCCAGTAAACAATTTCAAAAAGATATATGATGCGGGCGAGTCAGTTTGTAACTGAGCTAATCTACGACTACGAAACTATTTACCTGTCCAAGACACTAAAATTATTGTATTCAGTACTCTGATAACTATCTTCGCGAATTATGTGTCTATAGCTTAACTCCACAAATGGCTGCCTGGGTATAATTGCAGCTGCGTGCAAAACATAGTCCTTCCTATTGATGGCATCGCTCGAGATAGCATTTCAATGCAATGTACGAGCATAATGTCCATCACATTGCTCAAAGAAAAGAAACGTTAAGGAATGCATCTGCGACAGCCGAGGCGTGACGATGACATTGAAGGGACATGGAGCCAGTGTTCAGTGTGCAGCTAGTGTGATGAGTCGCAACAAAAGCGACCTGTTTTATGGAAGATGCGACAAAACGAAAATGTCAATAATGAGCCAAGGCTCGTCCCTGAGTGTGCCAGGGGCCCTGCCAATAATGTGTATGCTGTTGCATTTACACCCAAATATCAATGGCTCGCTCCAGAAGCACCGGCAGCAAAGAAGAAAATCCAATAGACTCGAAGACCTACATCAGTCCAGAAGCACCAGGCATCTGCTTTGACCAGCTGAATGAAGCGCATGACAAAATGACAATATGAGAAATGAAAGAACTGAATCGAGTGTAGGTGGCATGAAACCGACCACGAACTACTATTCGGACAACTACGTGGGTCAGTCCAGCCACAGACTTAAGTACTGCACATAAATACGCATACCAATGCGCACACACTTCCTACGTATCTGTTGGAGTAAGCGTGTCGGTAAGCCCGGACGCTTAGAAATGGTAAAGTCAATGCAGTTGTTCGCATTGTAAGCCAACACATCCCTTGCGATAATTTGGTCGCTGTCATGCCGACTGGCAGGAAAAAAGTCGTGTCCTCAAAAGAGAATCAGTTCGGGCTGTCAACGGTTGTTAGCAAAAGTTTCAATTGTCTGCGCCCGAGGATATATGAATGCGATTGTGAATGCGATTGTTTAAGTTTTTGCCCGCCCTCCTCCTGTTGCGAAGACAATTAATTGCAATATTGTGTGCTACAAGCGATCAACATAACGGCTCAAGCCATTTTCATTATCTGCATATGAAGAGGACTGACCAAATACTACTACTTGAGAGCGCTACTTGATGACATTGATAAAATACAAGTTTTAATGATGTTTGAGAAGGAATCCGCTTAGTATTTGTATACCCTGAACCTGAAATTGAAAATGGGAAATCAGGGTATAATGGTTTTGTTGAAATGTATGTAACAGGCAGAAGGAGGCGTGGCAGACCCCACAAAGTATAAATATTCTTGATCGGGGCGACGAGCTGGGTCGATTTGGCCCTATCCATCTGTCTGTCCGTCTGTCCGTGAACGCGTCGATTTCAGAAGATATAAGTGCTAGAGACTTCAATTTTTTTTTTTAAATGGCCGTATTTACAGCGCGGATATCGAGTTTATCATTAAAAATCGATTACTCATCCCGATCTTTTTTGATCGATAAAAAACCTTATCGAAAACCAGTTATAAAATTATATCTTCTACACCTTTATTGCTAGAGTCTCCAAATTTTTGATGTATACCTTTATGCAAGTTATACAATTTCGGTTTTTGTTCAAATTTACCCCCCACACCTATATCCACCCCCTAACCCTCACCTTTGTAAATGGCGTATTTCAAATACTAGAGACTTGTGCTTTGGCAAATACACTTCGCGTCATCAGGTTAGCGCCCCCNAAAAAAAGTTATTAAACAATTAAGTTCTCATAGTAAGCGCACACTGCATCCCATGCGTGTTTATGCGTGGATGCTTGTGTGTGTTTGTGTATGTGTGTGTGTGTGTGTATGCGTGTGTGTGTATGTATGCGTGTGTGTGTGCGTGTTTCTTGTGTAAGCTGAAAGACGCGAAAAATTATTGAAATAGCTATTGCTGCAAGGGTTCAGGGTATCCCGTAGTCGAGCAGTCTCGACTAGAGCTTTCTTACTTGTTTTGTTTTAATGCTGATGATCAACACCTTTCAAAAACCGTTATAATTTTATATTTCCTACATGTGTTAGCTAGAGCCAGGCGCGTAGTCAGAGATTGTTTGAACCCCCAAAACCCCCCCCCCCCCTGTATACGCACCTGGCTAGAACTCTAACGCTCATACATATACGAGCATATCATGTCCACCATCCTATCTACGTTAGTACACTAGACTGGAGCAGACTGGTTTGTGAAGAACGCAGTGCATATGGACATAAGGACTTAACGATTCCTACAGTCAGAATAAGACTCCTCCACATACCTGAATAGGCTCGAAGTGCATCCAAACCATCTCACATCTGGTCGGGCTATCGACAACAACGGATTACACATTAAAATAGAATAGAATTAAAAGTTACTAATTTATATGTTAGATTTATAGATTGTATCACAGGCCCATTCGCTAGTAATTGCTTAGGCGAAATGCGCTATAGAGTCTTTGAGAATTAGAGACTACAAATTGAACTGAATAGAAGGAAAAACAGAAATTGCAATGCTCTTTCAATACCCATTTCAGTTGTGTGGTCAACTAACTAATTGCTGGCTTTTTTTTTTCGTTCATTTGGCGATTGCTTTTAATATGATTGCAATTTGCGCCAACATTTGGTGGCCAGAACCGTCAAAGAGTTGAATGGTCGAAACCAGCTGCACAGTGGGCGTCTCCGACAACATAGCCAACGCTTTGGCTACTATTTTCCGTAGTCGACTTTTGGGCACATTAGTTTCGCATCACTTGCCAAAAATGCTGTGGCTCGAGCCCGTAGCTTCTACTTTGCGAGCGGCTTGTTGAAAATGGCTGTTTTTATGAATGTATCTGTATATATATATATAAAAGTGTATATATATATATAAAGTGTATATATGTAACTATTTGAGGAGCAGAAAAACTGCAGTTGGCCAGTTGGCCTAATTACATACTATGTATGGTACTTGGCTTCCAATTCCTTTCAGCCAATGTGAAACTTTTCATTAGCTGCAAGCATGAAGAAATAAATACATTGGTAAATCAATTATATGGCTTTCAATTGGTCGTTCGCTTCTATTAATTTATTTGATATATTTAATTTAACGCAGCGCTTGTCGTTAATGGAAACCAAAATGCTTTCAGAATGTGAAGTTCTTGTCCCGTAGCATTTGCCTTTATTACCAGTCATCATTTCAGAGCCGCTGCAAATGTAATAAGCTCTAAGTGTATCGTCTGCGGCCATTGTTTTCCACATCTTCGTAACTTGTTAATTACTTTTTGCATTGCGGACTTTTTATTGAAAATTAATGCCAGCGGATTGGTCATCTGGCAACGTAACGACCCGGCTCCGCTGTAATTGAAATCAGCTTCAATATTACTACAAATAAATAGGGTCTGTAGCGTTGACTCTCCTCTACATTACGAACATAATGGTGTCAATTGCGTGAAACTCATTATGAATTTTGATTATTGACCCATTTTTCACCCTATTTACATTTCACCACTAAAATGATTTTAAAAGAACACAGCGACGGTTGGTAATTAAAACTCATAGCCTATAAATGGCTAATATACATACATATATTGATATATACATTGTTATTCTGGACTAAGTTCATGCCAATTCTCTCAGAACTGTAAGTGCCAACCGTAGCAGGCCGAGATCTTTTTCTTACTCTCACTCATAGATATACGTTTCATTATATTATGAGTAATAATACATTACATTCACTTGAATATGACAAACCTTAATCCCAAGAGTTGCACAGAAAAGCCCTCTCACACTCGCCTTGTTGTGGCGCGAACGTGTAAAAGTATTGCTGAAATCATAAGCAAGTACAAGAAGAGACTATTTTCTGAGACGCGCCAAGTACTCGAAAGATCGAAATGCCGTGACTGCGGCCATTTGATTGGACGTTGCAACTTTGACTTATTGAAGAGCGGCCAACGGTGCGTATGTGTAATCAAGGGCATTTAAGTAGATCTTGACCAATTGTTAGTTCAAATTTAGATTCAATTTCATCTCAACCAGGAAAATCTATGCCGGCTTATTTTGTATATTCTTTGTCCTACTATTGGGATTGGCATTGATACTGATACGTCGATACAATCACACATTTATTTATGGATCTGGCGGCTGCAAGTCGGGAATTTTTTGGACCTACAATGATTGCATTGTAATGGCCTAGCCAAACAGCAAGTATGATAAATTTTTTATTCTGCAACTATATTTTTATCTATCTATGTTCTCATTTCAGAAATTCTTGCCTAAAGCTACGAATGGTAAGTCATGCATGGATGGATAATATTGTGTTTTATTTAGCTCGGCTCAGAACGTAAAAGCAGACGTTCTGCTGCTGATGCAACAACTGCAATTGACTCTGCCAAAACAAAAAGCTCTACTATTTGAAACACGGTTTTTGCAAATTTGTACAGTTTTATATCTAGAGAGTACAAAAATTTTTTATGTAGATTACTGATTACATTATTATTTCCCATTGAAAATGGGTTCAGGTTATGAAAAGCGGAAATAAAGCATATAAGTTTAATTTAATTTCAAAATTCAAAATTCCCGCTGCCCGCTGTTTTGGAATTTTTCCCTCAATTGGATTTTCAAATAAGTAAGAAAACTCTAGTCGATTAGATACTACCCTGAACCCAACTAAAAATGCCCATTTAGTATGAAATGAATGAAATACAAAAGTCACTTAATAAAATATAAAAATATTTTGAACCAATTAAAACAAGAAAGAACGTTGTAGTCGGGCGTTACCGACTGAGGAATACTCATTCACATCCCATCAACGTTTAGTAGTTAAGTTTCTCTCTAATACTGTAGAAAACACAGTTTTTTCCGATTTGCCACGCCCCTACTGGGCGTAGATACCTTATTTTTGGTCAGTTCTTAGAACGTGATAACGGTACCCTAACTGCAAAGTTTGAATGCTAACCCACAAAAAATGTGAAAATTACAGGGTAATTTTCGATGTGCCTCGCCGCTAAAGATGCGTAAAAATTATTTTTGGTTCATCGATAGAGGAGGTTACTGGTACTTAACTATCTAAATTTGAAGCTTCTAGCTATTATACTTTAGGAGATATCAACTTTTGCGGTTTGCCACGCCCCCTGTGGGCGGACATATATCCAACAAAACTTTTTGGTCTTGGGTGATCATCCCGAGTATATATACAAAATTTGAGGTCACTGGCATCAATAGTGTCCAAAATGTAGCAGAATTTAAAAAATCACTAYATCTTCAGGTCCGATTTGCCACGCCCCTAATAAGCGTAGACTGTTAATTTAAAGTCTTAAGACTTTATAGAATCATAACAATAGCTGAAGTGCAAAATTTCAGCGCTCTAGCTGTAAAACTCTTGAAGATACACTTTTATCCGATTTGCCACGCTCCCAATGCGCCAAGATATATCCGCTATAGCTCGTGATCTTGGGTGGTCGACGCGAACCTACATACCAAATTTCAGCTTTCTAGCTCTTTAACTAAAATGATATCTGGTATATCGGAAAATGCATCTTCCAATTTGCCACGCCCCTAGTGGACGGATCGGGAAAATTTTAACACTTCATAAAATCGGAGATATACAGGAGTATATGTTCCAAATTTCAAGTCTCTAGCTTCAATAGCGCCGAAAATTATTTCTCGTTCATACGGACAGACGGACAGACGGACAGACGGACGGACGGACAGACGGACAGACAGACGGACAGGGCCAAATCAACTCAGCTCGTCGCCCTGATCAARAATATATATACTTTGTGGGGTCTGCCACGCCTCCTTCTGCCTGTTACATACATTTCAACAAAACCATTATACCCTAATTTCCCATTGAAAATGGGTTCAGGGTATAAAAATATGTAATATCCGTAGCCATAGCATAACACTTTTTGGCTCTCCCAGTTAATTCTGTGTTTTGAGCACCTTTTGTGGCCATTTTCGCAGCGTTTTCACCCAATCGAATGGGAGACCACAGTGCGCTAAGCACACCTTGCTAATTAGGCCGCAGGCAGTTTAGCGCCCCTTTTTGGGCGTTGTCAATCACCAAGCCGTTTAAATAATAAATCACTTTAAAATTAGTTTGCCAAGTTGAGCAAGTTGAGCGTCGACAAATTAGTAAAAGTTAATTAAAACTATTTAAATTGCAAATTATTGTAAAGTTTTCCCATACACACACTCTACTCTATATATAGATATATGTATATCTATAGATATACACGTAAATATGTAAGTCTAGAAAAATTCCAACGAGAACAGGCAGACAGAACAAGCTAGCGTGCTGTAGCTGGGTGCTACCGACTGCATAATACTCTTTAACGGATCATTTAATTGTATTCATGAATGAGGTAATGGTTGTTATCCCACTGCACTATCGGCCTTTATTGTGAGAGATTATATAGATTAATCCGACGTAGATAAATATTCAAAATAAACATTAATAAACAATTTTTATTTATTCTTACTTGCGTTGTCAACCTGAGGTCAATAAAATTCAATGGGTATATCTGCGCCTATTGGAGGCGTGGTGGATCGGGTAAAACTGTATCTTCTACAGTTTTAGAGCCATAAAACCAAAGTGTATATCCACGTTCACTTGTAGCCTGGTACAACGGAACATACTGTATAATCTATAGTTTCTTTGTTAGGAACTCCCAATATTCACCTCTATTGACTTGCCAAAGATTACATACATACATAGGACACGCGATCAATCGGAAAAAGCTATATCTTTTTAATATGGTGGCGGTTTCAAATGAGTATTTCACAAGGAGTAGTGCCTCAACACGAATATACATGTATTGCAAATCTTAAACGATTTTCGTTGATTGAAATAGTTAGTTGGAATTGGGGAAAACCAATATACTCGTTTACCTTCGTGAGGGCGTATAAAATGCTGTAGATGTAAAGCATAGAAACACAGCACGCATACACATAGACTAAGGACCACATTGCTGAGTAAACCTTAGCAGAGTTAACGCCCATCCCAGAGCTTCGCAGGATTCACACACCCGCACACACACACACCCATGGTATATACCTATATATGCGCCATTCATTGCTTTTCCTTTTCACAGCATGTTTAAATAGGGGAAATTAAAAAAAGGAGCGCACCTCTGCTGTACTGCCAGACATATACATACATACATATCTATAGACAGATATACATACATACATATATATCTTTGCGAAATATGTACAAAAAATGTCAAGTTGTGTGCGCAACTTGGCTGGCAGGCAGTCAGTCAGTTGGCAGCCAAGGCGTCGGRATATTGGAGCGTCGCGGCAGTGGGAGATGAGGGGATGGGTGTCAGGGCGTTGGGGCGTGGCGCATGGAGCAACAATTTGCATATAAAAAGGGTTGTTAGACTTTAAATAGCGGCCTGTCCTATTATCTGCATTAGGGTAGATATGGCGCGCATTAAGATAAGGTACTTACAGCAACGTTTACGGGGGGATCGGCATGGGACTCGAACTACGCAAAGTTAATTTATGCGGGTGTGGAAGCGACTACACTCATACGTGTGTGTGTGTGTGCTTGAACGTCTGCATGTAAAGCATGTTGAAATTTTAATTAAAGCCAAAACGTTTAAGTACTTCTAAAAGATGTTGAAAGAATCTAAATTGGAAATTCAATTCCTTTGAACTTTTCCTTGCGCTGACATTTGAAACGTCATCGACATTGTCTCAAAACTAGCTGACTAAACTAATACGATCCGAGCATTATCTACGAAAACTCCAGATATAATGTAATATTGCCCTAATATGCAATATAAAATGTGGATTATAGTGCACAATTTTAATGATTATACTCCTTAATTTATCATCTTGTTCGTTCTACTGTCCAACTTTCCGTATGAATGCAAACAAGTATGCCTTTATTGAATTTAGAGTCTTAAAATTGAAATCGCCAGAGGCGGGGTAAGTGGGGAAATGTACATAGGTTGATCTTCGATATTGGAATATATACTAAGACAAGCAACCCCGGACTGCAAATACAGATCTATCTATCTCCCCAGATAGACTAAAATTATGCATCGACTCCCGCGGGCTCGAGTTCGAAGAACTACATACCAGTTAATGAGAAAACATTAAATACTTATATTAAATACTTAAATACTGAATGCGTTTGTTCAAGATATCCATTTGCGTCAACTTTTAGATTCGAATAAATATTTTTACGAAAATTAGTGAAAAGCGTTTGTCATGCTACTGATTTCAGATATCGATGTCTCTAGTCTCACACGAAGTCTAATTTATTCTGCACTCTATTCTGTATTCATGTACTAGATTTATATAAGTGTCTAATGATATAATATCATCAGTCTCATTGTAAAAGCACACCTCTCGCTATAAGCCATAAGATAAGAGAGATAAAAAAATTTTCTAACTTCAATCGGTGCTCCAAATCAGTGGTTGAGTGAACTCAATGCCAAATGCGAACTGCGTTTGAGTGGAAATCCGCTCATCGTTAGCAGCCTTAGTTGTGCTGTTTGGCAGTCAGCTTGAACTGCATGGCAAGAGCTGAAAGTCAAGTACGAGTATAGCTACCTGTAAAATATTTATACAGGTGCTGTGAGCCTGTTTCTGATGGAGTCGCTGCTGATATTAACCCCTTGCTATTGCTCACCGAAAACGGTAACCAACTTGAAATCATTTACATGTGTGCGCTTACCTTAGTGTAGGATCCCATTCACCCAACAAAAATATGTACCTTCCACTGTACAGAGACATCCACAGTGCAATAGAAAATAAGTGAGAACGGCGCAGTTGGGTGCTACCGACTGCATAATACTCATTGTTGTACGAAACAGGAGGGGCTCTGCAATAAATGAAACGCGAACTCCTTTTTTTTTTGCTTTTTAAATTTATAGTCTGTTTTTTTTTTTTATATATGAACAGACAAGTGAACAAACAGACGCTTGCAAGATGGACATAGTTAGAAATCAATATACTCCTTCATTTCGCGGATGAGTATAATTAATGGGCACTTCAGTACACCCATAACACATTATTTTTAGTGGCTTATGCGTGCTGATGGCGCTCTTGGACTGACTTGTTTTTTTCACTTGACACTTAATATACATGGGCATTTTTTTAGTGTCGTATAATAAACAACAGCTGTTAATGTTAATAGTTGTTAATGACCGACCTATGGGGCTTTCACAAGAGTCATCTGCATATCTCATAGCTGATTGCACATTTACGGGATAGGGAATATATATTCATCTTTATTTAGTTAGATTAAACACAACTCTTAATTTAATAACATATTGACATTCAAATTAGAATGTTTTAAATGAGAGAAACTAATTCCTCTAAATTTATTTATTTATCCATCTCACACTCCATTAGATGATTTTATCCTTTATTTCTACTATT